GCATGTGAGTTAACTGATTCAGTATAGCGTCTGGTTGATGCCGAATCAAATTCAAGATCGATCATCTCGGTCTTGATCTTATCAAGCAGACCCGCTCCGAAGTTGATCACTTCCCTTCGTATGATAGTCTTAACCTAGAAAGGACCCACTTTGCGAAAATGTGGAACGTCCCACTGGTCCCTGTCGGCATTAAGCTGGCATCAAAACTGCCATCCGATATACGGACTTTATCAATGGGCCGAGCTTAATTTCGCTAAATCCAGACGATGATTCGTTCCCTCTAACGTAACCGAAGATGGGGTGACCTTGCGAGTCCCACTCTACAAATACTACGACCTCGGAGTTACTGGTATGCATGCCAAGACGTCCGGCTACGAGTTTAGATTATCACATACAAAGTCGTTCGCCATCAGAACCCTCCATTCATTCGGGTCTGTGGGGACGGGAGTGGAGTTAACCTAGTATACAAGACCGTCGGGACTTTGCGACATCCGGGACGCATCATGACACGGGAAGTAGTGGATGGAATAATTGTCTTTTGTGACAGTCTAATATATAGTCTAGTATTTAGAGGGTATTGATGATGGGCTGACAGACCTACAGAAGTTACAACGTTCAGTTTCAGTTTCTTCTGATTTTTTTCAGTTTTCCCTTTTGAGTACTGTTCTTCAAGTGCGTGATGAGATCTCACCATCTCTGGGCGGCGGCCCTTGCCCTGACGGGAACGGTCAAAGCCACCACATTGCAAGATGTGTGTACAGTTTCCTTCGCTCGAAGCTCATTGCCGGAAGACAGCGTATATCCTGGCGTCTCAATTGACAGGTCTTCTGTGAGTGCAGTGGCAGCCTACAACGTGTCGAGCACAGACCAAGTCTATTGGCCGGGCGCCACGTTCGACTACTGCAATGTGACCTTTGCCTACTCCCACTTGGGCCGGGATGACCGGGTGGTGGTTAGCTACTGGATGCCCGCTCCGTCGAAGTTTGCCAACCGTTACCTGTCGACGGGTGGCAGTGGATATGACATCACATTGGGAAGCACTTCCTTGCCCGGGGGTGTCATGTACGGTGCTGTGGCGGGCACAACTGACGGTGGATTTGGTGGATTTGAGAATGGCTCGGACGATGTGTGGCTTCTAGCCAATGGCACCCTCAATTACGAAACGGTCTACATGTTCGGTTATCAGGCTATCCATGAGCTGACCGTCATCGGGAAAGAGCTTACCAAGAAGTTCTTCAATACCTCCTCCATCTACTCTTATTACCAAGGTTGCTCTGAGGGTGGCCGTGATGGCTTCAGTCAGATCCAACGGTTTGCAGAGGACTTCGACGGGGCTGTGACAGGTGCCCCTGGCTTCCGGTTCACTTTCCAACAAATGCAGCACCTTTGGTCACCCGTTGTCGAGCAAACTTTGGACTACTATCCCCCTCCTTGTGAGCTTGAGAAGATTGTAAACGAAACAATCAAGGCTTGTGATGCCCTTGACGGCAAGAAGGATGGTGTTGTTTCGCGAACGGACCTCTGCAAGCTTCACTTCGACGCTAACAGCACGATCGGCGAACCGTACAGTTGTGGAGCTTCCTCTTTGACAACCTACAAGAGAAGAAAGCGATCGGAGACATATGCGCTCCCCGCCCAGAACGGCACTGTTTCTGCCCAAGGTGTGGAAGTCGCAAAAGAAATCATGCGGGGAATGCACGATACGAAGGGGAAGCAAGTCTACTTCTCCTACCAGCCAAGTGCGGCTTTCTCCGACGCGGAGACCCACTACGACTACGATACCGGCTCTTGGACCCTCGATATTACCGAATCAAACAGTGAATGGGTGGAGAAATACATTAATCTCCTTAATGCCACTGAGATGCCTACGCTCAAGAACGTCACTTATGACAACCTGAAGGAATGGGTCCGCATAGGCTGGCAGAAATACGACGACACTCTTCAGGCAACTTACCCCGATCTGTCGCCCTACTCCGAAGCGGGCGGTAAGGTGCTTCACTACCATGGAGAATCTGATTACACTGTTCCCACTGCATCGTCTGTGCATTACTATGAGTCTGTCCGTCGTATTATGTACCCTGACATGTCAACGAACGCAAGCTACGCCGCTTTGGGTGATTGGTATCGCCTTTTCCTCGTTCCCGGTGCGGCACACTGTGGCCCGGATGACTCCCAGCCCAATGGACCTTGGCCACAGAAGACGCTAGAGACTATGATTCGATGGGTTGAGGATGGAGTCTTCCCTGAAATGCTGAATGCAACGGTGCTGCAGGGTGAGCATGAAGGCGAAGAGCAGAAGCTCTGCGCATGGCCTCTTAGACCTCTGTGGAAGAACAATGGCACCACCATGGAGTGCGTGAATGATCCGGAGGGCATGAAGACTTGGGTCTATGACTTAAATGCTTTCAAGATGCCGGTGTATTAGAATGCTTCTGAGAAAACTGGGTCTGGATGTCCCTTCTTCTCCTGCATTCTGATCCTTCTTTTTCTTTGATCACGCACCATGACCAGCTATGCCAACTCCAGCTTGACTGAGACCTGTATACATATGGATCGTGTATTATTGAGGACACTCGTACGCCTCCTTTTTGTCTGGAAACATGATTTTACTGTGTCCTTATATCTTCTGAACTTGCTCTGGCAAGCTTTCTCTTCTATTCTGTATATCAAGTCAGATTCCTTCATTTGAATGTTTTCCTTTGTCCAATGTGAATACATCCAGTAGCGTAAGTACTTAGAATGTCATCGAAAAACACAGTGTCTTCAAGTTATAGTGAGTAGTAGGTCAATGCTCAATACGCCAGTGCACCATCGGATTTCTTCGGTACGTTAGCTACATTCCTACAGAATCGTCTGTGGCACAATCTTTATCCGGACTATGATCTCGAGCAGTAAATGACACTAAAGTATACCATCCTGGGAAGTGTCGTACACTCCAGAAGACTGGATCGGTTCAGAAATACGGGACAGCCTTGTTTGTGGCTCAGCAGAGATACCCGCGACGTCAGTAGCGATGCACCGTAGTGACTAGTGTATTCTGAACATAATCTCTGCAAGCGAAACTTCCCCGCAATGTCCCCATGAGGACATTACATCCGACGATTCTGCCCAAGAGACTGGACAGAGTGGGACGCTAGCACAGCGCATAAGCATTAGTGTGCACCCTGCCCATGTGGGCACTTTTCCGTATGCAGAGGTGAGCCCATTTTCCGGGGCCCCGAGTTCGATGACTAGTACTTGCTTGTCAACTTAAAGATCGGATTTCGGAGGTGTTGTTTCGGTATTTCCGGTGCGCTTGGATGACGTACTCTCAGATTCCTGGTTTTCATGTTCGGGAAATTGTGGGGTGAGGAGCAATTTCAATAGTATAAATAGGTCCTGTCTGCATGGTAGGGGAAGAGTAGTCGAAAACGTTATTCAACCTCCTAGACCAAGAACAACACCTTCTATTTCCCGGGCTACACGCGATCAAGCCATCATGTTACCAGGCCCGAACAAGCTGTTCCTGTTAACAGCAGCATTATTTGGACATGCCATTGCTCTACCAGCTACCGTAGATTACGACGGTGAGACCCTACCACACCCAAGTTCATACTGCACCAGTTCCACTAGAACCCAAAACCTTCTAACCCCACTCAATTAGTTCTCCCTAGCACCGGCTCCATCCTCAACCTCGACGTCGCAGCCAGCAACATCACCTACACCGTGCAAGGCAATGACACTATCCACACCATAGCTGCCAAGTACAACGTCGGCGCGTGCGACCTCGCCCGTCTGAACGTCCTCTCCGACCCTAACTTCCTATACGAGAACGAGACCCTCCGAATTCCCACCCGCGCTACCTTCCCTGACGACTGCTCCTGCTTCAGCACGAACAACACCGACGCAACAGCTACATGCATCTACGGTGGCCCTCACGTGTATACCATCTTACCCGGGGATACGATTCAGAAGATTGCCAACGAGCGGTACAATATCACAACGGATTCGATTCTCAGCTTCACTGCGCAGACGGGCTACATTGCTGCTTTGAACCCTGGTATTTACGATGTACTAGAGACCGGGCAGACGGTGAAGATCCCGAGTTGTGATAATTCGGCGTGCACAATGGCAGACTTTACGTTTACGTATGGCACGTTGCAGGATTTTGCCACGGCGTATAATGTTAGTGTGGGGCAGATTATGTCGTTGAATTTGGGGTATAATCATACGGATTATATTGCGCCGTTGGGGGTTGTGTATGATTGTACTTTGTTGAATTGAGTTGGGGATAATGGGTTTGAATATATTGTTTAGGTGGGAGTATATATGGCGCTTCGTGTCAAATGAGCTAATTTCACAATGCTTGCGAGGTTCCCATGATTGACAGATTTAGCCTGCCCTAACCATTCCAGACTGGTGAAATAATTAGATGATGCAGTATCTGCTCTACTAGGAGGGTAAGAATGTATTGCATATTGTATAGGTAACAGTTTACTTCTCCGTTACAATATATGACAAGGGAAAAGGTTAATATATATGATCTATCTAGATCTCAAGAAGGTGGGTTGGCTCAAGTTCAAAGAGGTGGTGAAAGACCACGCAATAAGAAGAGAAGACGAAGAATCAGCTGATACTTCAGTGGCTGGAGTGAATGTCTCAACAATATATATATATATATATATATATCATGTAGGGTTGTTGTGTACGTGTTTGTTGTGTAGCGAGGTCATGTTGGAATAGAGTATTGTACTGGCAGCAAAATTTATAGTCTATAGTCTGTGTACTCCAAATAAGGTCTCCGATATTCTAATCCGTATAGTGTCTTGCCTGGTCACGTTGTACTGCCTCGCCACCCGCAGGCTCCTTCACCCCTCTATCGTAGCCTTGTGTCAAGAAACGAGGATTATAATCGTTGTAGTCATACTCAGATTCGGGTGTTACTGATAGATCTAATAGAATTTCGAAGGCAAGGCTTGGTGGCCAACGCTAAATCCAAGACGGAGAGAAAGTCAAATGATCTACCCCATTAACCCAGAATTAGGGTCTTCATGCACTGGCTGATACTGATGATGCCCTTTCTTTGCATCTTGGCTTTCGCCCCCACGAAGCTGCACAAGTTCTGTGCTGCGATGCCTCCTAGCCTCCTTGAGCAACACAGCAGGATTCCAGACTGCCAACGCCAAGCTAGCGATAAACATGACCAGGGCATCCAGAATTATTGCGTAAATCTCGTGCGTAAAGAGATAGCCTTCCCACCCGTTCATCAGCTCCATGCTGCGGTAGATTCCCCGCGCCACCATGCACGTGCATGCAATCATTAGGGAAGAAGTGATTTTGCGCAGGGCTGGATTTTGCATGATCTGGTATACTGCACGATAGATCACGTACTCGAGTAATGTAGTAAAAACGCAGGTTGAGACAAGTTGCCAGATTATTCCTGCTACCATCGTATATGTACCGGGCCAGTAAGAGGTATGTGCGCTGAAGGCAGCACCAGCAACACCACCACCGACAGCCTGAAGAAGAAGACTCCAAAAATCGACCGTCATGAAAATAATCAGGTATTGTCTGGGCGTGAGAGGGGATTTATCTTGGCCAACTATGGATATCAATAGACCGAGAACACCATAGATACCGGCTGTCGTGAAGGCGGGGGCTGTAGTGGCAGTTGGTTAGTTGTGACCCATCAGTAGAGAAGCATTTTGAGGTATTAACGGACCCATTATCAGAGCAGCAAGCTGCATCTCCAACAGTCGCACAGAGTATGGACAGCGCCAAGCTACTGTGCGGGCGAGCCACCCCGTGAACTCTCCGAAAGCCCCAAGCGAGAAGGCAAGACCTAGCCAGAGGTTCTTATACTTGAATGCTTGCCAGACATGGACGGCAAAGAGGCCTGCAAACAGGACCATGAAAATGACGCCCGCCACGATAGACGGTCGGTAGCCGAAGGGCGTGACAATATCTGGGTCGTATGGAAAGCATTGTGGTGTCGACATGGCATCCGCTGAGCGTTGTTCAATTTGCTTAGTGAGGAGACAAAATGGTGGCTAGAATGGTTAACGGGCGGATGTGCGAAATCGGGGTGAAGGATGGAATGGGATGAGGGTATAGAAGGGGGAAGATAGAAGGCAGTAGGGGATGCGCTTGTACCCAAGTCTCAGCCTGATCAAAGAAGGCCGCAAATTTGGAAGCTTATTGGACAGAATGTGACCGAGAGCAGGCAGCAGAATACACAGCCATGACACGCAAAGGTTGGGCCCAAAGTCACCGAGATGGACTAGTGGCAGCAGGGGTTCAACCGCAAATATGGCTGTTGTATATTTAGCCCGGGTGGGGACAGACGGCGATGTATCACCATCCAACGCCACCCGCCAGGACGCTAGGCTAAAGCCCGCCCGGGATCAGATCCTTCCCGGTCCGGAATGATCCTCGTTAATAACATTGCCTCACAACACCAATAACCCAACCCTCGTCTGAATTGTCTTAAGCATCGTTCACGTCACCTTCCAATAATTCGAGGGACCGATTGAGCCACCGTAACTCCTGAAGTTCAGTTATGAGGTTTCTCTGTCTCCATGGCATGGGTGCCAATGCCCAGGTGCTGGAGATCCAGATTGCCGCCATTACCAGCTCTTTCCCTGAACATGAGTTTGTCTTTGCCGAAGGCCTAGAGCCTTGCCTTCCCGATCCGAAGGTCCAGTCCTTCCTTTCCGGGCCTTATCTCTGCTATTACTCATGTCCAACTCCAACTCAAATGCACGAGGCGTTTACCCTGATCCGAGAAGTCATGGATGAAGACGGCCCATTCGAAGGAGTCATTGGCTTCTCACAAGGGGCTGCACTGGCTGCGTCTATGATCCTCCAGCATCAGAAAGATAACCCCACCGCAATGCCACTCTTTGATCTCGCTATCTTTCTGGGCGCCAGTCTTCCATTTGATATGGACTCCAGCCTGGCTCTCCGCAGTATCGTCGCCATGCACCATCGACCAAATGGATATCCCGATGGCGCTGGTGACGACCCTCTCATCCTGCAGCAATATGATCCGCGAACGACAAACCTGCGTATAGAGATACCTACGCTGCATGTAATTGGAAGAACAGATCCATTTCGGCAGCAAGGGGAATTGCTGGTCGAGCTGAGTTCCGGGGATGCCATCCCAGTCGTCCATGATGCGGGTCATATTGTGCCTAGAGATATGGGCTCAACGGCCAAGATAGTACGATTGGTAGAGGGAATGATAGGCAGGGCTCAACACATATGCTGACGATATATGTTTCATTCCATGCTCTGCATCCGTACATATTTTCACCTAAGCTTATCTAAACGGTTTCCGATACGTTCTATGTGTGTCTTTTTCTCGCTATTTGGCTACTTTGGCAGTTGGTGACTTTATATCATAATGACAATGGCCCTTCACGTGAGAAGTTCGCATTCATGCCTGGCTAACCAAGTCTTGAATCCACATCCGTAGGGCATCAAGCCGCCCCCTGGTTGACTCTAAATGATATATGGCATTTGGCTGCCAGGACGTAGAACCCTCCATGTTGAACTCCAGGAGCCGCCGCAGTTGCCCTAGGTGAAAGTCCATGACGGTGTACCGAACCACGGTGTCTAGACGCCCGTATGTGTGCAGCCCGCGACCGGGGCTTGCGTGTGAGGAAGGAGATTGTTGGCCCGAGGAGAAAATGGGCAGGACCTCACGCTCTCCTGATTTGGTTTGCTCCAGAAGCGGCATGTCATTGATGGCGTTGTGTGCAAGCAGCTCGTAGATCTCAAGAACTATGAGCACCGCTGTAAGAGCTAGAACAACGGTTTCATTGCGCGACTGAAAACTGTAGAAGCCGCAGCTCTGTAGTCCTAGGCCTTGCTCAGATAGCGCTATGGTGTGAATTATATCGCATAATGCAGACACGGAAAAGAAGACCGACTCTAGTTCAGCTCCAGAACGTAGTTTGACACGTTTTAGAGCCTGGCTGTCTCGCGTGAGTTGAAACAGGAGAGGGGATAGTCGGTCGTACACCTCCAGTCGTGAATCAGTGACTGCAGACTGCTGGTGGCCCACGTTTTCAGGGCCTTGAAGAGGTTCCCGTGGCCCCATGGCACAGAGGGCCTCAACTTCAATCGGGAAGGTATCTTGTGAGTAGGAACCACCACCGATGTGGCCTTCAACCATAGGAGACGGCACGCGTCTGTTACTAAGAGGAGGGCCAAAGTGCGGATCGCTTGTTGATGCCGCCTCAGCTGGAAAAAGTGTCCTGCAGATGGTTCGGCTCTTTGTCCCTATCACCAAGAAAAAACAGCTTCCATGAGGGCTCACTGGAGTGGGACTAACTGGTCCGAAGACAACTGGGAACCATCCGATGGCCAGCAAGCCGGGTCATCTCCTGGTGGATGAAAAGCTGGTTCTAATGACAATAGAGGCCCGCCATCATCTGACTGGGGGTGATGCACCAGCTCCGGAAGCTGGTGCACTTCAATCGATGAAACCTCATCAACATCTACCTGCGAGCATGACCGTTTCGACTTTCTCGGTCGCCCCATTTCCTTCCGTGGGCTGAAGACGCATTGTCGGCCATGCCGTTGACAATTCAAGCAGGCACCCATACCTCCTGTTGCTGAAGAACAGCGCACTTTGCGATAATGGCACGCATCGCATGCCTCACGATGTTGGGAGTCCATGTTTGGAAGAGGATCGCGACCAGGTCGATGTCTAATCTGCCATAATGAGCCAAGCCCAGTACGTACTTGGGGACACCAATCGGTGGTTGGTCGGCCTTAATAAATTTGGTCACAACCCCGGCTCGAATGAAATCCCAGTCATTGTAGGTGTCGTATTTGGTTCATTGGCAGAGCAGTATCAGTCGTGCGAGCTCAGCCAAGTTCCATTCGGCCGTCAGATTTTGGGGTGATCCTGTGAGAAACATTGGTTCGATCTATGTGGGGAAATGTACATTATTATGTACTTGTGATTGGGTGAGATCAGATACTAGTAGTGCACCACCTTGTTCAACGACTTAGCATCGCCATCGCGCTACTAGTATTAGTGCAAGCCACATGGTTCTCATGCTGGTCAGAGCCCCCAGTAGGAATGGAGCAATCACCAAGTGTTACTCATAACCAATGAGGTCAGGCCGATAGACAGGGGATCTTCGCTAGTCAATGAAGCGGACAACTGAGTCGGGTCCTGACCAGAGGGGAGGGGGGGAACGCATGCTCAGGGCAAGGATCGAATTGGTGGACCGGTAATATCATATATAGCCGAGTTCAATTGGAAGAGATCAATTGGGCTAATATTGTCCTCTGCTGGGCCCGACAAGGATGGGGTAGATGTCCCTATGTCTCCGCGTCTCCTCGGTCATGCAACCAACACGAAATGGAAAAGATGAGGGGTGCCATTGAGGCCTCCTTAGTACCTGGCTAGTGGCAGCCGGCCGATCCGTTCCGCGTGGCATCATCGCCCCCTCCCGCAAGCGGCTGTGATCTGCGAGTGTCACACAGTGAGTGGTATATGCCTTTCATTCTTAAATTTTCTTCATTTTACTCTTTATTGTAACAATGTCCCATTCCTATAGCTATGACGGTTTAAGAAGACTGGATTCGAGCTATTAGAACTCAGTTGCAGGGACGAATTGGAAGAATGATGGAACCAACATTACGGAATTTCAGACACGCGTAGATGATTGCGTCTCTTTGAAATATATATTGTTCCACGAAATATTGCGAAACACTTTCACTGATACTATTGCTGTATATTAAGGGAACCTTAATATGAACGAAGGCGTGTTTAACACGCCTCTTATATATGCAATGCTTATCTTACTAGTTCATTACGAAGTCACATAACAACAATAATGAACTTATCATAGTTTGGCTTGCCCAAATCTCCTGTTAGGTAGTTACCCATCGAAACTCAGCCGCGATCGTCCTTCCTCCCATTAGCCTCCCTGCTTGTCCATATAACAGCAATCAGCCAAGTCACAATTCGTTAAAAAGACTTCCAGCTCCGCGGGCCTACGGCAACAGGCCACACGCGGGCTCGGACACCTTTCGACCCTTCCTGTGAAAGAGGCAAAAAGGCATCCCTGTGACATTCAATGTCACCTTCTGCTGTGGTCTCAAATAACTCCAATCTTCCGATGTCCCTTACCCCTCGTACTTCAAGGCTCCCGAAGCGCCGAAATACAGCGGCCAAGATTATCATCATCTCAGCATATGCCAAATTCTTTCCTAAACACGCTCGACTACCTTTACTGAACACTACTTGGTATCGGTCCAGTCCGGGGTTTTCGATCCACCGCTCCGGACGAAACTGATTGGGTTCCGGGAAAATAGATGGATTCTGCAAGATCAGCAGGGCACTCATGCTGACGGGGGTCTTTGGTGGAATGATCCAGGTCTGTTGCGTATTGGGGTCGGTGAAAGTGAGCGATTCGTCGCGAGCGACTCTGGCGAGTCGGGAGCTGACTCCGTAACTGAGTCGAAGACCCTCCTGGATGCACGCAGAGAGATATGGGAGTCTTTCAAGTCCCAGAAGATCATCAGCATCAGTGGAATCAAGCTCATCCTTCAGCTTACGGAGGATTCTTGGCTGGGCGAGGAGATGGAAAACGGCTACAGTGATAGCCCATGCCGTGGTTACCGTTCCCGCACCCACCACGGTTCCACCTTCTTGCGCCAGTCGACCGAGCGCTTTCTCATGAGGCGGGAGTCGGCTGTCGAGAATCTCTTGAAATATTGTCAAGTGCCTAGTAGATTTGATATCTGTTGGGGACGGCTTTGAAAGTTCCATTGTTTGTTGAACCTGGCGGGCAATATCCTGAACGGGGCCTAGCGTCAGCCTGGCGAGTTCTCAACGCAAGTTGGACATTGCCCTTCGATTGTTTGACGCAGGTCGACTTACCGTATGCATTCGCACAAAGGACGTCATTTCTGGATTCATTCGGAGTAGCCATTTTTGAGGCGTACGCTTCATCGCCCACAGAACTAGGGGAAATTGCTTCATCAGCATACTGTATCTCCCGCCACCGACACAGGCTTGGTGAAACGCGCTATCGAAGTCAGGAGCTTCGACCTTGTGATCTGACTTGCTGAATGCATACTCCATTATCACATCTATACGATGAATATCTCAGTCTGGGTTTGGCCACCTCGTCACGACATCGAATACATACCTGCCGTATAAGCTGCAAAAGCGGTGTCAAGGTGTAAAATCGCACCAGATCTCTGGAAATCTTCCAACCGTGCTACAAGGGCATCGGCCCGGTCCTGAATCACATTTTGCAGCAACCGCACCTTGGTTATGGAAAAGAAAGGATTTAACGCCGCCCGCCGTGATCGATGATTGTCATGATCGGTCGTTCCGAATGTCGATTCGTCCGCTCCAAATGCCTTCATTGCCCAGTACCACTTATCACGTTTGCGATTTCCACCCGCAAATAGCTCATCGTAGAATTTTGGCGTGTAGATGTGCAGTTCATGAGGGTTGATACGAACTATAGGTCCGTATCGTTCGTGTAATCGACGAATTTGAAAGATGTACTGTCCCCCGAGAATAACGTCATAGTAGAACTCATACCTGGCATATATGTTAGCATTGGACTTTCACAGCAAGGAAATATAACTGTTAACCAAAAGGTGAAGGCTGCCAGTCTAGGGCCGGGAAATGCCCGAAGTGGGTGCAGATAGAAACGGTAGATAGCAAGAGTGACCGCGTAGGTGACCATGCATGTCAGGATTATGCGAGGAAGGTTTTCCGTGGTGTGAGCCGCCACAAGCAGACCCGAAGGACCCGCAGGCATGCCAAGGTCGTAGTTCAAAAGCTCCATGTTCGATGGGAGGGATGGTCATGCTAGCTAGAAAGACACAAGGGCTGCGCGGTGCCTTTGTAGATCGGTTAGTGCGGGGCTTAAATGTCACCGAGCGTGGCATGTGCGAATCTGGCCCCATCACTGATGCATGAGGCCAAGTGGAATGTCACCGAGACATTTCAGTTGATGCATGGCATGCTAAAGGTCAACAACCCCCACTCCCCGAAAGCACAAACAAGGGTACTGTCATAGACTCCAATTAGTTTTTCATATACTGTAACCTTCTCGGTACAGCTTACTCGGAATGGCTATCGATAGACAATCCCAGAGCTTCCAACAGGATGAGCTCCGTCCATTACCACCCCAGGCGCATCTGCAACCGATGAGGGGGTGGAAGCTATGGGTGACCATATTCGCGTATGTAATCTGTTCCTCTTTCTTATCAGTATGGTATCGAAATCGAAACTTAACAAAAGTGGAAGACTTTTCCTAGGCCTACTCTTATCTACACTTGAGACCACGATAGTATCAACAGCCTTGATTACCATCGCATCTGACTTAGGGGGTTATGACAAGTCGAACTGGATAATTGTCGCTTATCTTCTCACATATACCGGTATGTTACTACAAGTAATTATGGTTATATTTCTTGATCTCTCATGGTGACTTTGGCTAATCGATGCCTGAAGGCTTTCTTATAGTATACTCCCGATGCAGTGACATATTTGGTCGCAAATCCAGCTTCATAACGGCGTTGGCCATATTCACGGCATTTTCCATTGCCTGTGGAGTGTCACGGACTATGGAGCAACTGTACGAAAAACCAACACCAGATCACTTCGGTTCGGAACCATCGGCATGTAGGCTGACACAGAGTAGGATCATCTTCCGCCCATTCCAAGGGATTGGTGGGGCGGGAATTTACAGCATGGTCATGGCCGTCATGGCTGAGGTGACGCCTGTTGAGAGTATTGGTCCAGTTACTGGGCTGATGAGCACTATCTTTGCTCTCTCCAGTATTTTGGGTCCTGTGCTTGGTGGTGCCATTACCACAAACGCATCATGGCGATGGGTATTCTACTTGAAGTAAGTCCACTCCATTCTTCTCCCGAGACTAAGAGAGGCCTTTGTGGCTAATTCGACTCTTTTTTTCCTGGGAAGCATTCCCGGTGGCGGTCTGGCATTAGCGATTGTGATCTGGTTTTTCCCTCGAAACGACGGACGGCTTCCCATCAATCGCCTAAGTTTTAATCGCATAGACTGGCCTGGGATGTTGCTGTCGCTGATCGGGTCTGTATTTCTTCTTCTCGCGCTCGAAGAAGGTGGCAGTGCCTTTTCTTGGGATGGCTCTCTCATCGTTGTGTCGTTTATCGTAACTGGAGCTGCCTGGATTGCTTTCATAGCTTGGGAGATATACGTCGCAATGGTTTACAGCCGGAGAACATCCTCCTTTGCTAGCAAAATGATGCCCGTATTTCCGGTATGGCTGATACGACGTCGCATAGTCTGCGCGTCGTTGATGTAGGTCGCAGGCGTCTCGAGTATCCCTAGTAACTAGAGCTGACGAACAATATGTAGAGCCGCCTTCCTCGCCGGATTTCCGTTTATGGTACTCATAGTCTACCTTCCCGAACGATTTGAGATCCAGGACGGGCTCAGCCCAGTCGCGTCCGGCATTCGAATGCTGCCACTACTCCTTCTTTCGGCGTTGGGAGCGGGGGCGGGAGGTGTGATCAACAGCCGCAAAAACATCTCCTTCTACACACTTATGGTTGGGTTGTCGCTGCAACTGATTGGGCTCGGATGCATGACCACCCTTCCAACAACGGGAACCATTATTGATGCGCAGTACGGATACCAGGTCCTACTCGGGCTCGGCTTTGGAACAACCTTGACCAGTCTGGTCGTGATATCTCGCCTGGAAGTAGATGCCCCAGACCTAGCTATAACCATGGGTGCCGTGACCCAGGTGCGTGTTCTTGGAGGCACAATTGGCATCTCAATTGGCCAGGTTCTCATTACCCATTTCGTCGACCGGGACTTGTCCGATGTTCTTTCCACAGATGAGATGGCCGCACTTAAAGCGAGCGTTTCGAGCTCACGTAACTTTCCCGCTTCCAAGCAAAACGCGGTAAGTGAGGTCTATGGCCGAGCGTTCAATGCGCAAATTAAGGTGGTCTTGTACATTACTGCCGCCTGTTGGGTGCTTGGGCTTGGGACATTCAAGAAAAATCCCGTGGACTTCCGAGACGCGGGCAGGATAGAGCCATGTGGGAGTGGTGATCAAGAGCAGGACCAGGGGTAGGCGAGTGGACGAAAAAGAGAGTGGTTTGGAGAATGCCGGAAAGAAAGGAAAGAAATGTTTAACTGGCAGGCAGGCGAATAGAAGTGGGAGAACATTGGAGAATTTCTAGACGACCCGAGAGTCTTATTCCGCATTGGATATACCTAGAACAAATCCAAGTACAAAAAATGTGGCATAGATGAACAGGTGAAGGAAGATGCGCAGGACAATGGAACGACCTCTGGTTGTTGCCTTTCGCATTATGGTGCAACACGGTCTGAAGTAATTTCGACGACACGGAAGTGCAAATTCGCGCGGTATCGATCTCTATCACAAACACATCCTGGAAGCCAGAGGAACCGCTACCACCACGCCGATCCCCAATAGAAAAATGCTGGCCCCCAACGCCCACAGATCCCAGTTTCGAGCCTTCCAAACTGGCATCCGCATATCAGCCGTTTCCAAATGCATGGCCCGTCCATCCCCTGCCACTTTCCGCCCCTCCGCATCCGCCAGTGCCTCCTCAATTAGGTCTGCCGCGAGATACTTTCGCCTTGACGCGATTCTAGCAATTCGCTGCAAGCGGATGCAATTAGCTGCAAAGGCTCCAGTCGAATCTGACAGCTGTTCATTGATTGCCTGGCACAGCTGCTCCGGGGTAAATGTGTCGCGATCCAGCAAAGTCGAAACCCCCGCATCCCGGAGCTTCATCGCGTTAGAAATCTGGTCAAAGTAAACGCCAATCGTGATGGATCGAATGCCATGAAAGATGGCCTCGTTGGTGCTAGAGGCCCCAGCATGGGTAAGGAAGACGGAGACGCTCGGGTGCGCGAGAAGGGCGCGCTGGGGAACGAATGGGCAAAAATAGATGTGAGGATTTGCACCTGAGACAAGATCAGAGATAGAGCATTCTTGAGCCGGTGCCGTCGCAGCCAGGTTAAATTGCTTCATGGCCATTCCCCGAATTGACCAGATCACGCCATCAATAGACTGTTCGGTTTGAAGGGCGAGGGTGGCACCGTGAAGAATCCGCCGCAGTGCTGCGTCTGATACAAGTGCATGCGTCCCAAGGGAGATATATAGGATCCTTTTATATTTGGCGGTGAAACTTTGCAAATCTGGTGTGAGCCCTGGGTATGTATCGCTCAAAATTGGTCCGACTGCGATCACGTTGGGTGGGAGATCTTTTGCTGGTTCTAGCCCGAAGAATGAGTTTACTAAAAGTAGGTGATCGGGTTTGCTGCGGTTTGGTAGACTGCGATAGATCCCGAGCCTTGATCGTTGCTCGCGAGCCCATGATCGATATCGCAGATATGCAGGGAGGGCGCGGAGACCCAAGAGGTAATTTTGAAGTCGTTGCCACAGCGTTGCGTGCTCTGAGGTCAGAACCTCCATCTGAAGTCCATATGCCCCAGGAATATAGGTGGCTGGGAGCATGTTCGTTGGCATCTGCGGCCAGTGCATGGCAATTGGGATATCATGTTCGATCTTGATGTCCCGGACCGCATCCACTAGATAGTCCCCTATAATGAAATTGGGTCGTCGAGCCGGGTCCTGGACCAAAGCGGACAGGCTGGGATAGACTGTTTCCCAGCTACATTCTAGATATTTCCGGGCTTCCATAATAGGAGTAAAGCTATGATTAAGACCTAGCTTCCATCGCGACATTTGCAAGTATGCCTGTTCCTCGGCTTCCGCAGTTTGGTTGGGACCTAAAATATGAATTCTGGAGATAAATGGATAATCCTGCGTCCAGACCTGCTGACCCTCAAGTGTTGCGAATTCGATAACATGTCCACGGTCGCTCAGTATTCGAGCGATCTCCAGAAGAGGCGTTGCATTTGTTCTACCTCCAGCGGTAACAACAACTAGGAATTTTGTACGTGGCGCTAATGTCTCCATATCTTAGTTCAATAGACTCAATAGAGGTTGCTGGTCTATGACAGAGCAAGATTGTGAGCTATTCATCCACCACAACAAGCACCACCCTCTATTATGACTGTGTTGAGTCAACACAAACCGAATTACGTTACAGGCCATTCTTTTCATCGCACCGGCATGGTATTCTTAGCTTCGGGGACGGTGCCGGTTTCTGGCCGAATGAATAGATATGTTACCGAGATAAGTGATCCTGCATGCTATATGTCGCCGCGGACATTCGGTGACTTTCCAGAGTAGCCTTTGTGAGATTCCGGGCCATGCAATTCCAACATTCCTTGCAGCATGAACAATATTTTCTACGTCTGGCCTAGTCTGTGCACTCTTTGTTCATTCCTTAGCACATGGACCGTTAGCTTAGTCAAACTGAGTGTCATCTGCTCACAATGGAGCCAAATACATTGTTTTCTTCGGTATTTGGAGGATCTATAGACAGTCCCACTTAGTCCAATTCTATTGGTTCGGGGATATTTGCCAACGCCTACGGTGATGGGGCCAATCCCCGTATGGTTTGTATCAAAGGCCGGAATCTACAGGACTGGATATCGTCGACTTGTTATATTAGTAAATGTAGGGATATACATTTACCCTACGATAGAAAAGATGTCTACATTCCGTTCCAATTCCGTTACCAGCGGTCTCCAGAATACTTCCTTCTCTCAACCATTGATATCTCGTTCAGCGCATCGCACAATGGCATTCTCCGATGACTATCATAGACGCTATGCGGGTGTCCAGCCTGGTACCGAAGATGGATGTATGCCCATTGCTATCATCGGGATGGGAGGTCGATTCCCCGGCGATGCTTCCAGCCCCGAGAAGCTTTGGGAACTGGTCTCTCAGGGCCGGAGTGCTCTGAGTGAAGTCCCCAAAGACCGATTCAACGCCGACGCCTTCTACCACCCTCATCATGAGAGACAAGGAACGCTAAACGTAAGGAAGGCGCACTTCATGGAGAGCGATATCTCGGAATTCGATGCCCCTTTCTTCTCAATCACCCCAGCCGAAGCCAAGGCCATGGATCCGCAGCAGCGGATGGCGCTGGAGTGTACCTACGAAGCGTTTGAAAATGGTAATAGCCTCGTTGTTTGAAGCTCAATTGACTAACGTCAATATAGGGGGTCAACGTCTCGAGGACATCGTGGGGTCCAAGACCTCTTGCTACATCGGTTGCTTTACGCGTGATTATAGTGACATGCTTGCCTGCGATCGGGAGAACCTCCCGCTATACCACGGTACTGGTACAGGCTCAGCCATCATGTCCAATCGGATTTCTTGGTACTTTGACCTCAAAGGACCAAGTGTTAGCCTCGATACTGCCTGTTCTTCTTCTCTCGTTGCATTGCATTTGGGATGCCAGAGCCTTAGGACTGGAGAGTCAGAGATGGTATTTCTCCCTATCGGTCATTAAGCATGGACCCCGCTAACGGAGATTTCTCCTAGTCCGTCGTCGGTGGAACCAACCTCATACTGCTTCCGGATATCATGTCTGCTATGACATCGCTCCACTTTCTCAGTCCCGACGGCAAATGCCAATCTTTTGACCACAAGGCGAACGGCTATTCCCGTGGCGAGGGCGCTGCCATTGTCATCCTTAAGCCATTGCATCTGGCACTGAGAGACAATGATGTGGTCCGCGCTGTAATCCGCGGGACTGCGGTCAACCAGGATGGTAACACTCCTGGAATCACGCTCCCATCAGCGACTGCCCAGGAGAGCTTAATTCGGGAAACCTATCGGATGGCTGGTCTTGGCTTCGCTGACACGGCTTATGTCGAGGCCCATGGCACTGGCACTCCTGCGGGTGACCCCGTCGAAGCACAGGCGCTGGCAGCTACGTTTGGGATGTCACGATCCCCAGATGATCCTGTGTATATCGGCTCAATCAAAACAAACATTGGGCACTTGGAGGGTGGTTCTGGTCTTGCTCAAGTGGTGAAAGCTGTATTTGCCCTGGAAAATGGAGAGATACCACCTAGTTTGTGGTTCGAGAAACAAAATGATCGGATCCGACTTCTCGAGTCCCACCTCGCCATTCCCACCACGCTCACCCCATGGCCTAGGCCAGGGATGAGACGGCTCAGTATCAATTCATTCGGCTATGGTGGTACAAATGCTCACTGCATTCTGGATGACGCTTATCACTATCTAAAAGCCAGAAGACTAACTGGCAATCATAACACCATGAAGGGCTTCCAAGATCAGTCCCCCGTGTCTTCCGCCGATTCTGCAGTTGGCTTGACCCCTCCGGCTTCTGATATCATCTCACTCCTCCCAATGCAGCTTGAAGATCTGCGGATGGCCGACTATCTCTCCGGTGGGAAAATCAAACAGCCGATGTTGTTCATTTGGACCTCTCATGAACAGCTCGGGATTGGAAGAACAGCCAAGATGTACTCCGACTATTTGTCTTTCAAGTCTGCGGAGCTCAGCGACAGCGACCAGCAGCAGCTTCTGGACAGATTCGCCTACACTCTTGCAGCCAGACGCAGCATATTGCCATGGAAAGGCTTTGCAGTTGCCTCAACCCCAGCAGAGCTGGCCAAGGAACTTGTTGAAAGAAAACGAAAGCCCCTCAGATCCAGCACCCAGCCAAAGTTGGCCTTTGTATTTACCGGGCAAGGCGCTCAATGGTTTGGAATGGGTCGTGAACTGCTTATCCATCAAGTGTTCCGGGAGAGTTTGGAGGATGCCGGAGCGTATCTCGTGTCGATTGGTTGCACTTGGTCACTAGTCTCCGAGCTTCTGCGGGACGAGTCTTCTTCCAGGATAGATTCACCTGTTCTAAGCCAACCTATCTGTACTGCTATTCAGGTGGCCCTGGTGGACCTTACGCGACATTGGAACGTAAAGCCGTGCGCTGTTGTTGGTCATTCGAGTGGTGAAATTGCAGCCGCGTATGCTAAAGGCGCCATTAGTAGGGAGGATGCATGGCTCATCTCCTACCACAGAGGACGATTGTCGGGAAGCATGCGTGGTATTGCACCAGATCTGAATGGCAGTATGCTGGCTGTCGGCCTCGGTCTGGCAGGCGTTGAGAAATATCTGCAAGCAACGAAAGACAGTAGCGTTGTTGTGGCCTGTATTAACAGCCCAGACAACGTGACTTTATCTGGTAATACTTCGGCAATCCAAGAGCTGGAATCACTGATACAAAATGATGGCCACTTCGCCCGAAGACTCAAAGTGGAGACTGCATATCATTCGCCACATATGCAAGTCATTGCCAAACAGTACCTTGACAGCCTGAGTAGCATCGTTCCTCAAAAAGAGGACAGCTCCATCAAAATGTTCTCCAGTGTCACGGGTGGGCTTATCAGCAACGGCGATTTGATATCTTCTTACTGGGTTGCAAATCTATTGAACCCGGTTAATTTCTTGGGAGCTGTGCAGAGTCTCTGCAACTACTCGCCAAACAGCAAATCCAGGCGATTAGCGAAACCATTTGCTGATATTTTCTTGGAGATCGGTCCTCATTCCGCGCTACAGGGTCCTATCAACCAAATTCTCAATTCTAATGCCAAGACATCCCAGCTGACATATATGTCTCTTCTACGCCGCGGGCAAAATGCTTCTACTACGATTTTAGAGGCAGTTGGGGCGTTATTCACGCATGGGTATACGGTGGATATTGCCAGGGTCAACAGTCGAAATATTGTTCGAAAGCAGCAGACATACCTGGTTGACGTCCCTTCGTTCTCCTGGAATCGGCAGCACAAGTATTGGTTTGAGTCTGTCTCAGGAACGAATCACCGCTTCCGTCAACATCCACGAAAAGACCTTTTTGGCAGCTTGACGGTAGATGGCGTTGACATTGATCCACGTTGGAGAAATATCATCCGACTGAGCGAGGCGCCATGGATCGAGTTCCACAAGGTGCAGGGGTCCATTTTGTACCCTGCAGCAGGAATGATGGTTGCCGCCATCGAGGCAGCGAAGCAGAAGGCCGATCCCAATAAGGAAATCGAAGGGTTTGAACTCCGGGATATCATTATTGGCAAAGCCATTGTGGTCCCGGCCGATGATGTCGGAGTCGAAATGGTTCTCTCTCTCCGACCGTGGAGGATTGGCTCAGGAGCTACGACCTCCGCCTGGCAGGAGTTCACCTTGTATACCAGGCATGGAGGCTGGGACAAGAATTGCTCTGGTCTCCTCCGGATCAAGTACACTGAATCAAAGAGTTCATTGTTTGTTGATGAGGAGAAAGAAGCTGACCGAGCTGCCAAACAGACGTTCTACCAAACAGTTGATGAATGTCAGGAGTCGCAGAACCCCCGTCAATTCTATGAGCATCTTACAACCATCGGACTTTATTATGGAGATATATTTCAAAACATGGTTGAAATCCAACACGGTCATTACAAGGCAGCCTGTTCCATTCGAGTTCCTGACACTAGGAGTCGCATGCCCATGAAGTTCGAATATGAGCATGTCATTCACCCAGCCACCTTGGATAGCATTATTCAAATGGCATTGCCTGCTACAAGCGGTCTTGGTGAAGAGATGACAATGGCAAAGGTACCCACCTCAATTGGCAGGCTCTACGTATCAGCGGACGTGCCATCAGAAGCAGGCTCTTTATTGCAAGGGTACGCTACCGTGCAACTGCAAGGGTTCGATGGTGGTGAGGCCACTGTGGCGGTTTCTACGCCGGAATGGAGGAAGCCGCTCGTAATTTTCGATGGAATCAGGAGTAAATCACTTTCCGGGGCTACAGATAGCACGGCAGCGGCCGCGAGTACGAGAAAGCTCACGAGCTATTTTCACTGGAGAGAAGATGTATCCATGCTTCGGCGCGAAGACATCACAAAGCTTTGTACGAGACCTGTTAAGGATCTCGAAGCTACTAGCCCAGAAGTCATCGCCGAACTTGAGCTGGGTGCATTTGTCATCATCAAACGTGTTCTCACTGTTATTGACACAGAAGAAGCAAAGAGTCTCACTGGCCACTATCGCACTTTTTA